GATGCGAAATGCACCAGCTATTCCTTTGACTAGAAGATTGGCTCTGGCATTTGTGGCCGAGGATGCACCACAACCACACTGATGAGTAGCGGTAAAGTGTGTGAAATGCGATGCTGCCGTCGGGGAGGGATGACATCTTTTGGAGTGTAGTGGGTCTATGACACAGCTCGCCTGCCTTTAAGGCTTCGCCGAACTCGGCAATGGACATCTCGTCCAGCTCTAGCAGAGCATCTGCAGCGGGCAGAGTATCAAGGCTGATATCGCCTTCTACCTCCCCCGTCACTCCGTTCACGAGTGTATACAGCTGTTCACAGCAATCACGTGGAGCATCACCGCTCGTCACGTTGGACACATCGTCCGACGTCGAAGACGTCACAGACGCCCTGCGTCTTCTTCTCCTCTCCCTCCGCGACCGAGCCCGGCCGGATGAGGGCGGTGTGGCGACATCTCCGTCACCACCACCGGGTGCAGCAGCACCATCACTCCTCGAAGAGGATACAGTGTCTCGCAAGACACTCGGCTGAAAGCCAAGAGGTTCTTGACCTTCACACAGTGAACTAGGTGTCACTTCACCTGCATCTCCTGGGCCACGCCCATGATGCCTCGCCTCGCAGTCGACCGCGACCCTCGGGTCACGCAGCGGTAGGTCATCGACCAGATTCATACCACTCAGTGGATTACGCGCCACTCCGCGCTCGTCCTCACCAGGATCCAGCAGTTGGTCATTGACCTGACCTGCACCGCTCCGCGGATAACGTGCCGCACCACGTACGCCCTCAGGGCAAACAGCAACCTCGTTGCTAACAATTTCGGACATACCAATGTCCAGCACTACGGCCGCCTCGGCCTCGTGCTCGCGCCAAAAGCGCTTCTGCTTCCTAGCAGAGGTGGGTTCATGACTCACCAAAGCTCCACTAGGAGCAGGGTGCGACGCACCCAGCGTTTTCGACTTCCAGTCGATCCATGGCTCATGACGTTCCAGCCATGCCATGCCAAGGATGAGGTCATACCTCGCATCCAGGTCTAAGACCAAACAGCGCTCCACGCTATCGAAGTTCTCAAACTTCACTCCAAGGTCGACAGAGACCTTCGACACAGTTACCAGTGTCCCCGTCGCGAGACGGACAGAGATCGTATCTCTCGTTGGCACTTCCAGTGCCTCAGCATACAGCTGACTCCCTTTCCAGGGTGGAGCGGCGGGCGTAGTTGCTCGAGGCTCCCGAGTCAATCAAGACTCTCCATGGCTTTGCAAAGCTCTT